GCTGTCGGTTTGTTGCTTGTGTCTGTTTGAGTTCACTGAGTCTCAGTCAAAATTTGACGATCCCTTGCATGTTTGAGTGATGTGAGTCGGTTCTTGCTTGATTTATTGATCGGTCGTTTATTTGTCGTTGTCAATTACTTTAAATATTTTTTACCGATCGGACAGCGATCTGTCATTGTCAGTTATTTGACAAATTTTTATCAATTAGGCAATATTCGTCGTTGTCAGTTACTTTAAATATTTTTTATCGATCGTACGTTATTCATTGCTGTCGGTTTGTTGCTTGGGTCTGTTTGAGTTCACCGAGTCTCAGTCAAAATTTGACGATCCCTTGCATGCACTTCTCAAATTTTTGAAGTGTCTGTCGGATTTGAGATCGCGTGTACATGTTGACCTCATTTTTGGTTGAAGTATAGCTTTTTCCTCTTTAGTAGCCTAGACTCTAGCCATAGGAGTTTCCTGTTGACTATCCCTAAAAGACTAAAAAAGGAATCCTCGCTGTTAGAAATCCCAAACTCTTCTTTACTCAACTTGAAGTTTCACATATTGGTTATAACTTCTAGCACTTAGTAGATGGGATCAGTATGGAGGAACTCTTGAGTCTCCCATAGGATGGTCAGACCTTAGAATTAACCCTGGCTGATCTGGTGATGGTTGACAAGGCTTGCACACACTAAACTTTCTCACATACCCCAAACCCTTAGACCCCTTGATTAGGTCTTATGATTCCTTTTGGAAAGTTCATATGAATGAACCTATACCCCTAGTCTTTGGCTAAAAGGGTTAGAACCAACATATTGAACATCCAAAATGAATCCTCATATGGCTCATATTGGTTTGGCATGGCTTCATGACTTACTTGCCCATTCTAGCCCAAAATCACTGTATTACCAAAATATCCCTACAACCCTAATTTTTGCCAAAACTCCCAAAATTACTCAAGATACCCAAATTTGCTCAAAAAACATCTCAAACCATTCACCACTACCTAAATTGATAAAAATTCACCAAAATCACCAAATTCCCAAAATACCCCCAAAATTGCAAAAAATTACCAAAATGTCTCTCATGACCTAAAAATTCCAAAATCATCCAAAATATTCCTAATTTTAATTTTTGATCATCAATTTGACTCAATTTGACCAAATTAGTCCAATTTAACCAAAAACCCCAATTTGCCCTTAAAGGCCCAAATGTCCCAAAATTAACCCCAACTTTGGCCCAATTGATCCTAATCTTGCCCAATTTCAATTCCAAGTCAAAATTCAACATCCCCAATCCTAATCTAAACAAAATTCAAGCTCAATTTGACCCAATTGCAAGCCCAATTTCACCCAAATCAAAACGCCCCAATTTTGACCATATCGCCCCAATTTGACCATACGCCTAAATTCCCCAAATTAACCTCCCAATTCAATTCAAAATCACTTGAGGTTCTTCTAAAGCCTTCATGACATATTCCTACACCAAACTCAACATTCAATTAGTCCAAATTTTAGCCCAAATTCAATTTCAATTTTAAAAGCCGAAATCCTTAAGTCACTCCAAAAATCCCAAATTCAATTAAAAGCCCACATGATGAATTTTATCCCCATCATCCATTCAATTAAAATCACTCCTAAAGTTCTAAATCCAAAATCAAATCATTCCAAATCAAGCATCATGCCAAACTCCACTAAAATATCTTATAAATTCAAAAATCCCTTCTCATGAAAATTAGTCAAGCCACATGCAAGCCATGAAGCCACTCCCAAGCCATAGAAAAGCAATGAGAGCCTTGCCACCTCATCAAACTATTAATGAAAAGAGGCCAAGCCACTTTCAAGTCTCCTTAAAAAGGTTTTTAACCCTTTTAATGAATCCTCTAAACCTCATACTTAACCAAATCACTTGGATGGGGACTTCTCCACACCAATTTAGCTGACCCATCTGATCCTCTTCAGCACAAGACCAACCTTGGTGGCTGAACCCAATCCAAACCATGCTTTGACCCAATTTGACCCAAAATAGTCTTTTCCCCATATTATTTCAATCCCATGTTTTTACACATGATCAACCCCAATTGACTTCATCAATACCAAGCCTTGACCTCCCTGAGTCAGATGGTAACCCGTCCCTGGCCGGCTGACCACCTTGACTGCTGGAAAAGTCATGGCCAAATGCTCCCCCATGGCTAAAACTCAAAATTAAACCCATCCAAGCAGTCTCATCCCAATTGGATTTTTGCACCTTGTTAGCATTCACATAAGCAACCTAAGGCACCCACCAATTGCCTCTAGTGGCCTCTCCTTCCCCCTCTATTTAAACCCACCCTCTATGGTCAAATGGAGAGAGTTTGAATTTCTTTTGGGAGACTGTCAAATTGCTTCTAGAGCTTCCTTGAGACCTCTTGAGCTTAACCTAACCACCCTTAGCCACTCAAATCCACTGCTCGAGCACAATTTTGGAGCTCAAATTCAAGGCTGAAACAGGACACTCACCAAACCTCCACCAAATCCAAATTAATTGCACCCACACCATCCCCACAGTGAGAGAGGAAGATCCTCTACAAAAGCCCCGTCACCAGAGCACGTTAAGGTGGCCTTTGATCGGACACCCAAATCGACTTTGGTCAAAATCATGTCTAGTCGATTCACCACTGCTCGAGGCTCAATCCTTAGGCTCTTTGGACCCCCACGAAGCTTCCACAAGCATCCAATCGAGGCTTCCCCTCTTGGACCAAGGTATTGAACTTTAATCCTAAACCGAGCTTCATTTAATTCTACATGAGGATAGAGTTGATTTAGAGTTTGATTAATCGTATGGATGTGTGCGTCTCATCAAGATGAGTCGATAGGAATAAACCTTACTTGATTTGGTTAAGTATCGAGAGAGATATTAGGATTTGAAGATGGACGGTTCTCGGGCTAGAGGCTTTGGGGACGATGACCCGTGGCAGTTGGATTGGCTCTATGGAAAGAATCTCCACCTCCTCCAAAGATGGCAGGGACTATGCTAGCGATGTGGATTGCATAGGCTTGGCTGGCTCGTCTGATATTTTTTCTATTGGAGCTTTCCCTTATCGTTGGGTCATTGCTCTTGGAGCCCACAAACTTCTTAAGCTTCCCAACATTGATCAACTCTTTGATCAGGCCCCGGAGGTGTTGGCATTCCTCCGTTTCGTGCCCATGTGGATTGCATGGGCTTGGACTGGCTCGTTTGATATTTCTTTTATTGGAGCTTTCCCCTAATCTTGGGTTGTTGCTCCTGGAACCACAAACTTCTTAACCTTCCTGACATTGATCAACTCTTCGATCAGGCCCTAGAAGTGTTGGCATTCCTTCGTGTCGTACCCATCGTTCCGATAGTAGGCACAATACTTCTTGGAATCTCGAAGGTAAGCTCTAGTTTCATCAGGGGCTTTCTTGAAATAATCTTTACTTTGGATGACATCCACTATCTCAATCGTCGAAACCCTCAATGATGTTGTCTTGAAAACTTTATAATTAGGCAGCGGGTGCTCATTGTATCGAGCTGACAGCTGGTCAGGATACTAAGATTGACTCACTCAACGGTAAGTTCTATTGATGATCCAATGGTCTCGCGGCGGTCGACTGGCTTCGTAGCCCTGGCGGGTGAAAGGGCGTGAATCACGCCTTGATCTCCACTCTTTGTCTTGGAGGGTCCTCTTCTATGGGCGATAGCTGGAGAACTTTATTCTGGAGAAAATGGGATTGGAGTTATACTCCTAGGCTGATATGTGGTTGTTGGCCAGCTCCAACAATTCGGCCAACATCTTCGGTAGTTGTAGACCCAACGCATACCAGAATGATCATTCCTTCAGCCCTTGAGCTAGGGCGACATGTGCTACTGCGAGCTCCAGGTCCCACATTTCTAACATCTCCTTCTGGAAGCATGTGATGAACGAGTGAAGGCTCACATTCTATCCCTGTCGGATTAGTAGATGGCTTCTCTAAGGCATTTGGACACTGCAAACTGTGCCACAAACATTCGCTTGAAATCAACGAACGATGCGATCACTTCAAACGATAATGCATTGAATTGCCAAAGGGTGGACTCAACGTGGTAAAGAAGAGATGGCATTTCAGCATGTTGGTGATCCTTAGCAAGCACAAAATTGATTTGAATGAGACTATGCGGTCAATCCAATCGGTTCCGCCCTTGTAGGACTCCAGTGATGGGATTTTGAGCTTCTGTGGGGGTTCAGGCTTGAAAATTTACAGATTGAATGCATTCTCGTGCTGTTGGGCACCTTATTGCGCCTAAACCAATGTAGATCAATCAGTACCAACCCAAAACTATTGAAGTACGTGGAGTCGCCTTATCTTTCCAGAGCCTAGGCATCTCTTCAGTCGTTGGCGCCAGCCCTTCCTCTCGAGGGTACTGTTATCTTCCCCGAGCCAGCACGTCGGATGACATCCAATATTTAATCATTTAACTCTTGGATCTGCTGATTCACAAACTCTCTAGTACATTCTATGTTGTTAGTGTCTCTATTGTGGGTTTCCTCTTCGCGGGCTGCTACTCTTCTTTTTTCTGGCATGATCCACACTTCTCGCACATTTTATAATGCTTAATCCTAATTTGTCCACGAATCACATGTCTCACTCTCTTTAGACGGTGGGCCTATCCAAGTTGTGCACTTCTCCTCAGGACCGTCAGATCTCCTAAAGATCAACGCCAACACATTGTTGATGCACGATTCATGATTTTACTGAACAAAACCATCAACACAGCAAAATGCAAAACAAGAGAAAACAACAATGAATATGTTTGAAAAACAATAAAGTTTCTCAAATTCATCATTTGGTAGGAAGTTTTTAGAAACCAAAATTATTTTCATACACCCAAAGCTTCCCCAAAGTCCCGGTAAATTAATGATTCTATTTTTCATAATCAAAATGAGTGCAAACAAACCACCATTTTATAAAACACGTTTTATAAATTAAAACAATAGAAGCCCATAGTGCAAATTCATGAAACCACGGGCAAAACCTGACCTCAACTTTCTTATAACAGTTGTCAATGTCAGGAGGCTAAGATTTATATGGCAGCCTTCCTTTAGCCTAACACCCTCAGCATTTGTCTGTGAAGTTCTCTCACTTCCTGCAAGGTCCACAAAATTCTGCAGCAAACTAATATTTATTAGAAAGAATTACATACCTAACACCCAATTCTTATATAATTACGTATCTAATACTTAAACTTTAATTTTTTTAAATATATGCCACTTTACCTATACATGAAATGGTGTATTTAACTTTTTAGAAGTTAAAATAGTGGCATTTTAGATTTGATATGAAAAAATTAGGTGGTAAATGTAAAAAAGCGAAGCTTAGGTGTTAGATATGTAAATACACAAGAATTGGGTGATATGTATGTAAATGCCCCTAGTAATTATGATATAAACAGAACTACAAAGGTGGTCTGCTTAATAGAGTACAATGATAGGCTTACCAAATTTGCCACATAAGACTTCACACAGCCTGAATCCTCATGGAGACTGCTCTCAATTGTCTGATCCCAAACCAAGGATTGAAATAATTAGCAACTTCCACCATCAAATACAATAAAACGATAAGATTAACGAAGAATTACATACGTACCACTGGATTACTATGTATTTACATATCTAACACCTAAAATTTAATTTTAACATACACACTACATTACTTATGCATGAAAAGCCGTATTTCACATTTTAACAGTTAAAATGGTGGTATTTTTTATGGCATATGAAAGATTTGGGTGGTATAAATGTAAAAAGTTAAGTTTAGGTGTTAGGTATGTAAAGTCGTAAAAATAGGTTGGTATGTATGCATGAAAAGCTCTATTTCACATTTAAAAAGTTAAAATGGTGGTATTTTTTAAGAAATATGAAAGATTTGGGTAGTATAAATGTAAAAGAGTTTAGGTGTTAGATAGGTAAATACATAAGACTTGGATGGTATGTATGTAAATGCCCCTAAGAATAAACATCACTTATACCAGTCTAATTATTTGGTGAGATCTTGAACTAGTATCATTCAATGCAGTCTCTCCAACTTGTCTCTGCGCTGTAAAATAAAAATAAAGCATGATAATTAATAATAAAAATATAGAGAAATGTGCAAATGTATAAAACAAGATACAAAAACATCTCAAATTTAACACTACCTTCACAAACGCCTATCAGATACCTCAAGTGCTCACTATCTTTTGCAGTCTCTTCCTCTAGTTTCTCAACAATGGTTCCTTTCTGAATATACATAAATTAAAAAGTAAATAACAAAATACAAATGGGAAATTTACATAGTAGCATACAATTCATATTTACACACATAGCACTTTGGTACTTTAAACCTATGCATGAAAAAGTGTATTTTACTTTTAAAATGTGGGAGTGTTATTTTTTATGTGATAGTAAAGTTTTGAGTGCTATGTGTGTAAATATGAATGTCTAGGTGTAAGCTATGTAAATACATAAGAATTGTGCGGTATATGTGTAAATGACCCAACACAAATATACAACAAATATTAAATGAAGATGTGTAAAAATTTGTGGTCACATATAATTTGTTGATTAATGTTACTCACCTCAGGATCGTCTAAAAGCCTTAGAGGACCGGAATCTGGTTTCAACAGATCTCTCACAACCTCATTATATATCTCCAAACAAAGCTGAAATCCTGATAAACCAAAGCTGAAATCCTGATAAAGAATTTCCTTCCTGGATTCTGAACAATACACAAAATCCAAAACTTCGCTATGAGATAAGATATGAATGCATGAAACAGTAAGGTTCAAATTGACAATAAAGCTTACACTTTGTATGTGCTTGTAAATGTCAGTTACAGCATTTTCCATTATTCCTCTCATTGTATAAGTCTTCCCACTGCTGGTTTGCCCGTAAGCAAATATTGTAGCTGTAGAGAAATGCATAACCGAATCCACATAATTTACTGTCATAACCTTTTCTAATAGTAATTTATGTGAAAATAAGTGAGTAAAGTGCCAAAATAACCTCTTGCCTCTTTATGTGAAAATAAGCTAGTAAAGTGCCAAAATAACCTCTTGCCTCTTTTAAATGAGGACTATTTTAGCCACCTTTAAAAGAGTCTAGGGACTATATTGATATTTTTATAGATTCCGGGAACTAAAATGACCCCCATAGAGTCAAGCGACCATTTTGACGCTTTTCTCAAAAATAAGTATATTTCCTACAGCCATATGAAGGTATAAAAAAATGTAAATTTAGAGAATTTTTAGTTTATGTACCATTGATTCCTCTCACTGTTGATAAAGCAACCTCCTTTGCTCCTTCTTCATATACTCTCTCAGTTGGACATGTAGGGCCAAATACTTTATCTGAAAGAGTGAAGAAAATGGGAATTCAGTTGGTAATCCCAACTTCTAGTTCTTCATCGATAACAACAGTAAAACTTAATATATAAGGGGCTGTTTGGCCATATGTAGTATTTATTGAAGATTTAGTAAATCCTATAAATTTAAAATTAGAAAATCCGGAAAAAAAAAATTTGGAAATTGTTTGGCATAACAGCTATCAAGGGGTTGTTTGGTTGTAATATTTAGAGAAGATTTAAGCCAACCATGCCGGCCAATTTTTTCAATCCTATAAATACCACTGCCTTCTTAAAACTTGTTTTCACTCATTTCAGGTTAAACCCCAGATTTATTAAATCTCGAGATAAGCAGGATTTCAGATTTACATCACTTCTAATCATTATGCTCCTACTTCTACTTCATTTAAATCCTGTACTTTGAAAATAGCTAGAAAATATTTACTAGAATTTTACTAAATTTAATATCTGTCATAGAAAAAAGAAATTACAATTTAATGCATCTAGTGTTTGCTAAGTCTAGACTTACAAGATTTATTAGATCCTTCTTGAGTTACATTCTACTCGTAGCCAACAATTCCCAAAATCTTGCTAAATTCCCATGAACAATTTTACTCCCTTTTTTTCAGAATTTAAGTGTGACAGGGATAAATCCTCTAAATGGTATGATTTGACAAATCTTAGATTTAATCAATAACAGAACTAAAATGGAACTAGAGAAATAGTAGAATTCAATATCCCAAAGTTTTGTTAGGCAGGATTTAAGCTAAATCTTGGTTAAATCCTGCCTAAATTAGGATACCAAACAGCCCAATACTTTCAAAAATTAAAGAAAAATTAGAAAAAAAAGCAAAAATTTAATATTACCAAAAGTATAAGCTGATGAGCTTGACCTCTCTTGATTGGGCGTATTCATTACTATTGTATGTTCATCAGCACATTCCCAGGCAACCTGATCCTTTAGCGATTGTTCTTTTTTACTTAAGGGCCTCAGACGTATAGTAACTAAAATCTTATCCTTCTTGATCTTTGTACCCCCAGGAGTAGAAGACGGAGTTCTTTCAATCTTGGAACCTGGAGTACTAGGTGTTCTAGATGTTGACATCCCGTTAAACCCTAAGGAAAAATTTGAAATAATCACTTATGTAGATGCCCTCTTTAATCAGATTCGAGAATGAGCTTCTGCGGCTTGTGAAATTCAGAAATCTGCAAGTAAAAACCATCAGAATAGTATCACAGAATTTTTGACCTAGCTGTAAACTCATCGAAGTTAGGTTAAGAGTAAGTAATAGTCGATTATCTTACCAAAATCGAGCTGTAGGGGCTTTTTGGTAGCCGGTTTTAAGCAGGTTTTACGCAAATTTAAGCTAAATCCTGCCAAACGGCGAAAAACGCCTCCGAAAATCCTGAGCTCCCGTAAATCCTAAAATGACGCTGATTAGCGATAAATCCGGGATTTACTAAATTCTGTGAATCTGTGGATTTAGTAAATCCGGGACGAGCGAAGAGGAAGAAAGATTCGAACAGGCTTGCCTTCCTCAATGGTTTCTGGTAGAAGCGGAGCGGAAGGAAGAATAAGATGAGAGTTTCGGTGGTCTCTGTAAGCCGCGATCCCGTCGTTGAGTTCTCAGCTAGCTTCAATTGAGACTGTATCGCGAGGGTTCGGAGACGAAGGCGATGGTTCTGGCCGAAGCAGAGAGAGGCGGAGGAGAGAGAGAAAGCTCGATGAGAGGAAGAATGGGAGTGTTGAGAGATGAGAAGGAAGCGAGCCGTTGGAGTTTTGAATCAGACATTAAACTTGAAATTTTTGGATTATAATAATCAGGGAATGTAAATAAATTATATATCATACAAAATGCATGAATTATTTATAATAGAGTGATGCATAAATTACTTTGAATTTAACAAATTTGTGTTGGTCATACAAGACGCAAATTGAACGTAAAATTGATGATGGTTGAGGATTATCGTCGAATTTGCGTCAGATTTACGTTTGATTTTTTCTACGAGTAATTGGACTCGGTAATGTTAATTTCATCAATTTTGCGTCGAAATATTCTGACGCAAATAATAATCATCGTTTTTTCGTCGTCGCAACGTCGGACTACTATTGTGTCAAATTTTGCGTCTAAAAATATCATAGGATAAAGAATATTGTCATATTATTGTCGAATTTGCTGCGAATAATTTCGATGAACGACGTGTTGGATTTTTCGATGCAAAAAGGACACAAATCCGCTGCAAAACTCAAAAAAAAAAAAAAAATCAACATATAAATTACATATCTACAATCTGCACACAACATGTAATCCATATCATAACAACATTATATTCACTCATATCAAATATCAAAGTTCTGAAAAATCTCATTAATGAAGAAGGAGATACCGTCGCAAATCTAAATTATTAGAAATTTATATCTACACCTTCCATAAAAATTCAAACATTTCTGAAAATAAAAATAAATAAAAAACCCTTTTTAATCCTCATCCTCGTCCTCCTACTCGGCTACAACAGTCACCGTTCGCTTGCTGAAACGATATTTCATAATCTCTGCCAGGTGTGATATACTCCACTCAATTCATTGTTGGCATTCACACATATGGCAAACCTTCTCATTCATAGCAACAACCTACCTGGAAAGCTCCGGTATTCAGGTGTCATGAGCTCATGCCACCCATAAAAGCACTAGAGATCTCGACCTTCTTCTTCCTCACCGCCTGTGTCTATAGCTTGAACTTAAACTGCGCAGTGGTAGACTGGCTACCACTACTGCTGATAGTGCTTGGGGTTTTAGAAGTCAACTGCCTCTCTAGATGCTGCTCGTACTCTTCCTGCATAATGAAAATCAACTATTAATCGTCATTTTAAAAATTAAGAGTCAAAATAAATGTGAAAAAATTAATTTTTTTATTTACATTCACCCGTCGGGCAGCTTGTTGAATATGTGCAGGAGAAAACTTAGGTGTGGCGGCAGCAACAATAGAAGGTGGGAAAGCAACAACAGTTGTGGAAGAAGAGATCTTCTTCTTCCCGCTCTCGTTGGATTCATCAAGTCAAGACACTCGAATTGACTATAAATATCAAAGCTGGAGTCCATTTAACTATTCAAATGACATCCAAAGCCTCCAATTGTGCTTTAACAATTTGATTTGGGCTTTAGAGGAGCCGATTTGATCAATTTTGATATCATTGGTTTAGTCTTGTAGAGATGGTCGGCATGACTATAAACTTGTTGAAATTGAGACCCTAATGATCTTAAATTTAAATTTGGAAGATTTCTTATTTAAAAAAAAAAATTAAGAATCGAGCTCGATAAATATTTATTGATGACACAATAATAATATTTTTGGTGTGACGTTAAAAATATGCCTACAAATATAAAAATGTAGGTATTAAAAAATGTAAATGCATAAAAATTGCAGTGTATGCATGTAAATGCCCTTAAAATTAATTTCTATTCTAGTCTTATTATTTTATAGTGAGTTTTAAAATAAATATCTTTATTTAATTTATTTTTAATAAATTATCATAGCTATTAAACTTTTTTGTTTACATTCTATGAACATTAAATTAGTAATTATATATTATCATTTTAATATCTTGTCATTTGACCATAAAATTTTTAATATTTATTCGGTTATTTTTTTAATGGAAAGATGTGCTCAAATGGTAATATGTACGATTTAGATCATACCATAAGAAATTATACTCTCAATCACTACATCACGTATAAATGTATTTATTCTTATACTTATTGATAAATTAAAATCATATTATTTTGTATCATTTAAATAAAATGAAAAGAATGTCGAAATTACGACGCCTATCTTTAAAGATTTTAGGTGAGGACGTATCAAGCTTCTAACATGCATATCACATAATTTTCATTTATATATATGTTTAATGCTCAAATTCTAATGTATAATGTTTAATATCATATAAGTAAAATTAAATGTTAATATATAAATATATAAAATTTTTCATCAATATTAATACGTCATTAAAACTCTCAAGATGACCTGCACAGCTCCCAGAATTTTTTTAGGTGGGAAATATTCGAACTCAATTTAAAAATTATCAAGAACTCATACTTTAGCAAACTCATAATCAAATTGACTAGCTCAATGAGATGAATACAATGACACCAAAGTTGCTCTAATCCTAGTAAAATCAAGCCTAGATCAAATCGTTAAACCATTTTTGAAAGTTTTCAGTGCTCAATTGGAAGGTCAAACAGATTCCAAATCTACAAGCTTATAGTTTAATCAAACATCTCGATGAGATGAATCCGATGAGTCAAAGATCACTCAATTTTGACATTGTTAAGGCGCTCAAATATCTGTAAAACACCACTGATCAAGAGGATCTCTTTGAGCCGCCCTATATGGTGAATTGGATTCTTTCCTAATTCTTCGGAACACCACTCCTAGACTATATAAATGGAATTCTACCACCTTCATAAAAAAGGAGGAAGCCCTGAGGTTGGAAGAGGATCAAGAAGAGAATGAGCTGAAGTCCAATGATTTGCACCGAATATCAAATGTTTCTGCTCCTGCCACAGCCAGCCACCCTCTATTCGCTACAACGAAGCCTATGCAGGGTAGTGACTAATGTTATGGAGTAACGAGGTGATGTGTGCAGTAACAACTAATGTAGCGAACTAACGAAATAACGTGAAGAGTAGAGGCCAACATCGTTGAGTAACTGAACACTCTACGGATCAGCGTGTTGTCTCGAACACCCCACAACGACGCATTTCAAAGATGATGTATCAATGTTCCAACAACTGCAACTGCTCTTACAAGTCATCATACAAATGAAGAGAATAACTGTGTGACTCTTTCATACATGTGGGATAAAGACGTGTGCATGTATTCTTCAAGCTATAATAAATTATTATTTATTGAGTTGGACCTCATGGTTTTTTTACTTTTCGGGTTCTCCACATAAAAGCTTTTGGCGTCTCTACTTGTCATTTTTATTATCCGAGTATTTGTTGGATCCTAGCATAAAACTAAAACAATAATTCATTACTCTTCTGCTGTGAATTCTCCTGCACATATAATTTTTTTTTTAATTTATAACTATATGATTAAAACCATTTGGACCAAGTTTAAGCCAAGTTGTGTCAACAAACCAATTTGACCAGTACGCAAACAATCCGACCAAACAATTAGACTTAGATAGTGCCACCAAGATAGCTTAGCCAAATGTTGAACCATTAAATTTGTCCAAATAACTTGGCCAATCAATTTGGCTAGTTGTCCACAACAAATCATAGTTTTAGATAGACTTCGTCAACTAGCCCAAGCACCATATTGGCTAATAGAACACATAGGCCATATACTCGGTTATTTTTTATTCCAAATTCTCAGGCTAACCTCAGCCTATAAATAAAAATGTAGGCAAAAGGAATTTTTTCAGAAGAAATTTTTGGAATAAAATAAAGAAAGCGATATTAATTTAGGCTAATTTTATAATAAAATGAAGAATATAATGAATAATTAGAAAGTTAATAATGAAAAATTACCAAATATATAATACAAAGTTCTAAACATTTTTAAAACCTTAAAGATAAAGTTTTAAAATTTAATATATTTTGAGTATATTTTCAATTTATATTTTTATATAATCTGGCTCCTAAGCCAACGAGTTGAGTCGGGACTGGCTAGAGCATGACTTATTAGCTCATCAAGCTCAGTTCATGAGCCTCTTAACGAGCCGAGCTCGAGCCGGCTCATGAGTTAA